CCATAATAGCTAAGACCTGTACTTTTACATTTTTCCCCCAGTATTGAGGTCAGTCTTATGCTGGACCAAGACTGGCTCTGTATCAAGCAGGTGTGTGTCAGCAACACCCTCACCAAAAATGGAGCACAATGTCGGGGTGCAGGATAACTTTACGGGACCCCAGGCACTTTTGCCTTGATGCGCTCCTTCCTCCATGAAAAAATTTTAAATTATATTTTATAATGACATTCTTCTGATTTTAAAAGAAATGATCACGAAAACACTTTTCCGAGCCCGTGAAAGTATCATGCGCCCTGACAGATGTTCCTTCTCTGTCTGGAGTCCAAGTCCTGCTTCCATCACTTTTTGGCTGTATGATTTTGGGGACAATCCCTCGGCATCCTCATCTATAAAAATGAGGTGAATGAAGGTGTAAAAATATGGAGAAAAATCTTCCATGTTAGCAAGAAACTTCTTTGATGGGGGGGTACTTTGATAAGAGTCTTGGGATGGGGTGTGCTGGAGGAGTAATGGTTTTGTGAGGGGTGCAGGGTGAGCTGGAGCTGAAGACAGAAGAATTTTCCTCTCTACCCACCAGACCTGGCAGAGGAATTTTGGGGTCAAGGACAGAAACGTCAAAGGAAGAGTCTTAGGAAGAGGCTTGTCTTTGTCTCCTCAGGTCATCTTCAGGAATATCCCCATTTTCCTTTAATGCTTTCTGAGAGTTGAATCTATTTGGGGAGAGTGGAGGGTGCTGAGTTCTGCTCCGAGGTAGGCCTGGGTCTAGAACAGAAGCTCTTAGCCCAGGGCCCGAAAAGCTCTCAGTAAAACGCTGCCCTTTGATACTAACAGCCCAAGGCAGGCTTGAAAACATGGTTCTGGCCTCATTTGGCAGCATCAATACTTTGTTTCGCTGATAAACTAACTGGCCCAGATAATCATCCAGGGCAGTGGTTCTCAACTGGGGTGATTTTGTCCCTCCACCCCCTTGGGGACATTTGGCAAAATCTGGAGACAGTTTTGGTTGTCACAGGGGTGGGGGGAGGGTATACTGGCATCTCATGGGTAGAAAGCAGCCAGGGATGCTGCTGAACAGCCTGCAATGCCCGGACAACCCCACAGCAGAGGATTGTCTGGCCCCAAATGTCCACAGTGCTGAGCCTGAGAAACCCTGATACGGAGCCTTTCCTCCGATGACCACCCAGGAATAAAAATGCAGGGAGCAATCTTTATAGCACACTCTGAGGTCAGCTGACTCTATTATTTAAAAAAAAAAGAAAAGCAAACAATATTTATGAGCTTCTTCCTCTCCACTGCCTCAGATGAACTGACATCTAACTAACTGTACTAGTATTGACTCTGCTAAATATGTTTCTTTTATTCTCAGGACTAAAAAGCCAATGTGATTTTCTAGTCCAGGTAACCTGGCAACAGTTAGGCCGTGGAGATGTCCGTCTAGAGCTAAGCTACCACTTCCCTCTGCTGGAGAAGTTTGGAACTGCAGCTTCAAGCTCTGAGAACCAGAGATTCTAATTAAACAAGGGTCTGGTGCCTGGTGGTCACCCTGGGACTCCCTTTGCTGGCATTCTTGGAACTCCCTTGGCCCCTCCCCGGTTGGCATCTCAGCCTGGGTTTCCCCTGGAAAGCAGAGCCTGAGCCCCAGGTCTGCATGGAGGCAGTTATTTTGGAAAATGATCCCTGGGAACAGGAGGGAAAGACATCCAAGGGGTTCTTGTGAGATAAGAGAACATGTATATGCTGGTCTCTGTCCCCAGGTCCTGGCGCAGGGCTCCTGAGACCCTTGTCACTTCCTGAGTGATGAGCGCACCAGGAGCATCTTTTGTCCTAATATTTGCTCCTTGACCGTGGTTCCCTACACAGAGCTCCCAAATCCCTTGGAATTTCCTGGGTGAGAGCAGTGTCTTTCTGTTCTGAGGAGGTGACTCTGGGATCCACTTCAGAAGAGTCTGGGTGGGGACCGGAGTGGAGTGGGGATGGGACAGGTGACACAAGATTGATAAACTATCCACTGAGGACTGAAAGCTGGGCCACGAGCCATTCCAGGCTAGATTCACGGTGGTAGGGAAGGCGGAGGAGGGTGTATGAAGGATGAACGACAGGAGCCTCAGACGTCTCCAGATGCTTTCCTAAAGCATCACCGTGTGCAGACAGTGCATTTCAGGGGCGAGATAAACAGTCCGTCAGGGGAACCGGACACCTTCCTCCAACACCTGCTGGTTCCAGGCTTTTCCAAGGCAGACTTGTCATTCGTGGTGAGAACCTGTGGTCTCTGAGAAGTAAGTCCTAGTGATTATTTCACCAACAAGTTCTCCATAATTCATTTTTAAAAGAAACAGAGAATTAAACCTGAAATATGTCTTTAAAAAGAGATGGGGAGGCACCACGCCAGAAGCTGAGTGGTTCACGAAAGGATGGCTTGTTGTCTGAGTTCAGTACACAAGCCTCGGGGCACTGTCGGCCCGGAGGAATATTTCAGTGGGATTACCTGAGCTCTTTGCTGCTGCAAAGACGGATGCTTTCTAAGTGGAACCTCTTCTCACAGTGACCAGGCATGATGCCGAGTAAAATAATGGTCAAAAGAACATCACCAGGCCCCTAATGAGAAGCTGTTGACAGAAAAATTGCTCTAACCTTCATCAAAAAGCCAATAAATGCCAAGGAAGGGACTAGAGATGCAGCAGCTCATAAATTCCTTCTCCAGGGGCCACCGGAGGGGAGTTAGGGGACCACGCACTTGCTCAGCCTTTTTCCTGAACGTTGCTAAGGAAACTTCCGGAAAGCTTGGATTGTTTATGGGGCTGCTCACCCTGACAGTCTCGAGGGGATGTCACCAGGAAGGGCACACCAGCTTCTGGTCAGAACATCCTGCGTTGAGTACCAGGGCTGGCAAGTCTGTTATCTTTTTAGTCAGCTAGACCTTGTCTGTGTGATGTCACAGTTTGTAAGGTAACTGGGCGCTGAGATCCCTTCCACTTGGTTCCTGTAATACTTATTTCCTGTGGTGTTCATTTAGCAACCGGTCGGATGGCCCCACTGTAACGCGCCTTCCGTGGCTAAACCTTGTTTCCACTTTTTTGTGAGGGATGGGGGGTGCTCCCTGAGAGACTGATGTGAATCTATCCCTTGACTTAGTTTGGGTTCCCCAAAGGCGGACCCCGAATCAAGGGCCCGTGTGAAGGCGGTTTATTTGGAAGGTCATCCTAGGAAGCACAGGTGAGGGCGTGGGACCAGGTGAGGCAGGAAGGAGAAAAGCTGATGAAGTTTGCGTTAATGAGCAGGTCAGCGCTATGGTGGGCTCAGCCCTGCCGGTCCCGCCTGAGAAGACACAGCCCCGCACCTGAGAGCTTCTTCCTCCGACGGCCAGGGTCCGGGGCGGTTATCCACACCCCCCACCTGCTGTGTTGAGGGGTGTCCCTGGAGGCCTTACCTCCCCGCCACTTTGGGGTTTGTGTTGAAGGCTGAGCCCGTTACTGGAGGGCCAGCGCCACCGCAGAGGCGGAGACAAAGTGCTTGGGGGCGGGTCTTAGTCTGCTCGCTGTAACAGAACACCTGGAGGACTGGAGGACTTAAAAATAAATGTATTGGGCTTCCCTGGTGGCGCAGTGGTTGAGAGTCCGCCTGCGGATGCAGGGGACACGGGTTCGTGCCTTGTCCGGGAAGATCCCACATGCCGCGGAGCGGCTGGGTCCGTGAGCCATGGCCGCTGAGCCTGCGCGTCCAGAGCCTGTGCTCCGTCCGTAACGGGAGAGGCCACAGCAGTGAGAGGCCCGCGTACCGCAAAAAAACCAAAAACAAAACAAAACAATCAAATGTATTTTCTCCCAGTTCTGGAGGCTGGAAGTCCAAGGTCAAGGTGTGGGCAGGTTTGGTTTCTCCCGAGGCCTCTTTCCTTGGCTTGTGGACAGCCTTTCCTCTGTGCATAAATACCCCTGGTGTCTCTCCTTCTGCTTATAAGGACACTAATCCTTCTAGATTAGGGATCCATCCTTATGACCTCATTTAACCTTACTACCTCCTTATAGGCCCTAGTTCCAGATACAGTCCCATTGGGGGACAGGGGTAGTTCAACATATGAACTTTGTGGGAACACAGCTCATTTCATAACGGAGGAAGCTGTTATCTGTGGAAAGTGCCCACCACAGCTGCACGTGATATGGAGGTGGGTCACGGGGACATGGGGGGGCGGTCATCAAGTCTCATCTACGTTAATCCTCGAACCACTTAGGAGCCAGGTATCACTATCATCCCCCTTCTAACCGTGAGGAACCTGAGGCTCGAAGAGGTTAGACGACTAGCCCCCACGTCACACAGCAAGTCACAGAGCGTGGGCACAGAGGCAGCCCAACTACCTGACTCCCGTGCGTGACAGCTATTTTGTATTTGAGTTTTAACGTGGTCATGACTTATCTACTAGACTAAGTTCCTGGAGAGTCGGAATTGTCTGAAAAAAACCATCGCATGATGCCTCGCACAGCGCTCTGCAGTTTAGACTCAATAAATACATGCAGTGATGTTTTAAAATCCTTTCAACTGTTTCTTTTGGAAATAGACCCGGGGGAAAAAAATCCATGCAACTGAAATAAAGGAAATTAAATCTGCTTTTACAGGAACATGGTAACGTGTGTGTGTGTGGTTCACCACTAGACTGGCAGGAGGACAGGTGTGAGGGGTCCCTGGGGTGGGTGGGCTGGGTGGGGTGAGGGGCACAGTGAGTGACCCTGGCAACTGTCCATCATCCTTTAGGGACCGGGTGGGGTTGCTGATATGGGACTAGGGCCTTGAAGAAACTTCATGTGTGAAAACTGGACAGACTGACTGGGTAACTTAAGGGATAATTATCAAAGGATCAGAATAATAACTTTGACAGCAGTAACAAACGAGCCGATTTTGGTTTAATTAGGCATATTAACCATTTCAGTAGAGTCTGTCAAGAGCAAATCTATTAGCTGTCTTCTCACCTTGCCAACCAACCATATATTTTCTCTCTGTTCTATCACCAGAAGTGTAAGCATTTGGAGGCCAAAACATGCTTCAGCTGTGCTTTAAAGAAAGAAAATGGGCTTTGTGGAACCCTGGATCTGATTTCATCCAAAGTAACTCCTGAATACCGACCTACACAGAGTCACCATCAACTTCCATGGACCTACAGAGAAAACATGGATTTAATTCACGTTTTGCTGAGCTATTCAACTTTGCAAAACTGATTTAGAAAATGTGCTCTGAGAATTTTAAGAAATTTCTCATGTCTGTGTCACAAGCCAGGACGGGGTGAGGGTGTGTGGGGAAACTGCACCCTGGCTGCATTCAACTGGACCCGGAAAGTCTCATGGGAGATCGACGCTGTGCCGGGCAGTGTCCAGGAGCTGAGAAATAAACAACAGAGGACTGATGTGGCCCTGTAGGAACGCACACTCTTGTTTGGGGGCAGGGAGCATGATACACTAGACTGTGATTAAAAAGAATAATTCAGGGCTTCCCTGGTGGCGCAGTGGTTGAGAGTCTGCCTGCCGATGCAGGGGACACGGGTTCGTGCCCTGGTCCGGGAAGATGCCACATGCCGTGGAGCGGCTGGGCCCGTGAGCCATGGCCGCTAGGCCTGCGCATCCGGAGCCTGTGCTCCGCAACGGGAGAGGCCACAGCAGTGAGAGGCCCGCGTACCGCAAAAAAAAAAAAAAAAAAAGAATAATTCAGTGTGCTTCCTGCACAACAGAAGTGTCTACAAAGTGATGGAATGTCGCTGTCACCTCAAAGCCAGTAAGAGGGGCAGCAGGGTGGCCTGGGGTAGAGTCCGTGCTCAGAACCCGACCCCCTGGATTTCAGACCTAGCCCAGCCCCCTACCGGCTGTGTGATGACAGGCAAGTCACAGTATCTTTGTGTTTTAGTTTCATCTCTGTAGAATGGGGTTCATGAAGCCTAGTGCATAGAGACTTTATGAGGCTTCATGTATTAACATCCAGAAAATGCTTAAACAGTGCCCGGCACAGAGCAACCACGACATCAGTCGCAGCATTGATAAGCTTTAAATCACACTCCACTTTGACCAACATTTTTTCCTGTTTTCTAGATTCCTAGAAATTTCTAAACGTGGCCAGTACCATCTCAATACAGAGTTAGGTAAGGTAAATATTGAAAACATACAACAGAAAAGGGAAAGATTTCTTAAATCTGTGAACAAATACTTGCAAATTAGGTCAGAGCTGAGACATTCCCGGGCAGGAAAGGCAGCTTGGAAGGAAACATCGTTATGAAAATCAGCGAGGACGTCAGAGGAGCATAAACCCCACAACACTGGACTCACCCGGCCCCCAGCCTTCCCTCCCCCTTTCCTGTGGGACAGCGGCCTCCCCTCCCCCAGGGAGCCAGAGCGGGCCGGGTCCTCCCATCCTGCAGGCCCGGGACAGCCTGCCAGCTTCTCGGGGGTGGGTGGGGGGCGGGCCTCTGTTTGGGACCTGAAAAATACATTCTGGGCTCCAGAACATGAAAGAAAAACCCTTGCAAGACTGAAATTTCATTAAGTTTATTAACGGTAACAGGTGAGCTTCAATAAGGCTGATTTGAACTCTGGCCTCTTGATGACTGCCAGGAAAGAATAATCATTCATTAGTCAAATATTTTAAAACAATTTAAAAGCTTAGTGCAGTGGGTTTTCAGAGGACGGAGAGAGGAAAGGGGGCCCCTAGACAAAATTAGGATGATGGCCGATTTCACTCTGTAGGTGCTTCCCAGCCGGACGTTTTTAAAAGGTTCAGGTGTGGCCCCCAGGCTCCGAGGCTCCATGATGGATTTCTCGCTCTCCAATGTAATCAGGTGTTTTCACTGTTCACCGCTTCTAGGGAAAGAGGCCCATCTTCTCCTTTTGTAAAAGAGCATTTTCTCTGAGCAAAGCTACCTGTTTCAGGTTTCACAGCAAGTTTCCATTGCTGTAGAATCTGCAGTGTCAGAACCGGGAGGACACGAGGGTCCCAGAAGGGGACCTGGGCGCTGAAAGAGGCTCCGTCACCTGCACCGTCACACAGCTAGATGGTGGCAATCCTCGGACTTGAACTCGGTGTTCTTCGAGGTTGAATCTTCTCCTGCATCCCCTCGGTAAGCAAAGCTGCGTTGCCTTGGCTCTGCCATTTCTGATTGGTTTCCTTTGAGTGCATTGGTCGTCCGTCTCTCCAGGCTGGAACTGTGATCTTTTCGGTACATTGGGAGGACTGCGGTGTGGTGTCAGAGGCACGGGATTCAGAGTCATATAGATGCTGGCTCAACTGTGGCCAATGCACATACCGGGGAGCAGAGAGAGCTCCTTCCGAGGGCTGCCTGGCAAGAGTTTCAGCTCAATAAATCTCCTGGCAGGCCCCCCCATTTGTTGGTGTAAAATTAGTCATTTATTTGCGCCATGTTTGTTTTTTTGGGGGGCTGAGGCCGGCCTTGGGAATGCTGTCTCCCCCAGGCCATGCAGAATCAAAGGCCCCTTTCGCTGACTTTCTAGCCCCTGAATCTGCTGGTGTGGGATCTTCTGGGCTGAGCTCAGCAAAGCTCCCTGAGCAGTAAATGGTACAGAGGGAAAGATGAACACACGAGGCTTTCCAAAAGCAGTCGTCTGCGGTGGTGATCAGAACGTTTTCATTCAATATCCCAGTGGAAGGAAGCAGAGATGCACATTCACCCCCAATTTGTATTTGCCGTGGGGGTGAATTATGTGACACTGGTGTTTGGGTAGCAGATTTTCCTTCTGGATTATTTTCTGCTCCGGCGATTATTAAGATTTATAGCGAGTCCCTGAGGCACCTCAGCTCACAGGTTGGGAAGCCAGCCTAGAGGCCAGAGGATTTCCTGGTTGGAGGCTATGGTGCCGCTCATCCAGAAACTGGAAAGGCAACTTGGTTTTCCTTGGGACGTGTGAGAAGGCTTCACTAACTTTCTCCGAAGCCCGGAGCTTATAACACCCTCTCCTCACTGTGGGATCTATCAGCAGCCACACAGCAACTCCCACGGGGGGCAACCCGCAGGGGCCCCACCGGCGGATTATTTTTGAGCAGATCATGATGGCCAGTCCTTCACAGCCTGGGTTGAAATTTCAGACAGTTGTTTATCAGATTCGTAGTAAAACTCCACTGCTGATTTGCCAAGAGTCAAATCCCACGTCCCCGGTGCACCGGCAAAGTCCTCCAGGGGGCGCGCTTAGTCCAGCCCTGGGTTCTGGAAAGCTGAGGGGCAGGGGTCAGGTCTTCAGGCCGGCCTCCCTCCAGCCCAGGCTCCCCGACAAGGTGGGCAGCCGGCGGTGAGGGGGTGGAGGGCACCCACGGCTTTATCAGCAGACAGAATCTGGGACCCTCCCTCTCCCCGGTCTCCACCACTCATCTGTAAGCTGGAGGTGATGGTGGCCCCGCTCTGCTGGATTCTGGTGGTGACTGAACGAGGATGTACAGGGGGTGCTGGTGTGTACTGGGCTCCAGGGACTGGTGGCTCTGATGATCTTTCTTCTTCTGAGGAACATTCTCAGTAACAAGCTCCTCCTTTCCAAGAAAACATTCTTTTTTACATTTATTTTATTTATTTTTGTCTGCGTTGGGTCTTCGTTGCTGCGCGCGGGCTTTTTCTAGTTGCGGTGAGCAGGGGCTGCTCTTCGTTGCGGTGCGCGGGCTTCTCATTGCAGCGGCTTCTCTTGCAGAGCACGGGCTCTAGGCACGCGGGCTTCAGTAGTTGTGGCTCACAGGCTCTAGAGCACAGGCTCAGCAGTTGTGGTGCACGGGCTTAGTTGCTCCACGGCATGTAGGATCTTCCCCGACCAGAGCTCAAACCTGTGTCCCCTGCACTGGCAGGTGGATTCTGAACCACTGCGCCACCAGGGAAGCCCTCCAAGAAAACACTCTTTTTCACCTTTCTAAACTCTGGCAAAGAAAGAAAAAAAAAGGCCAATCTCAATAGAAACCCACTAGGGGACCTCCCTTCCAGGGGCTGCTTGCCCCCGTGATTAGAATGAGAACCACCGGGTAGAGCCTCACGGGTCTCTGTCTTTGGTACGAATTACATTTACGGCCACTCTAATCATAGGTAAAAAAAAATTGGCCTTAACAAACAAGATCAGCCCCAGGTGTGAGCTGGCGGAGGCGAGGTCTGGGCCATTTCCGGGGCCTAAGTGGACCAGAAGCCAGAAGGTAAGATGTTTAGGTCCTGAACCACCTTTGGGGAACTCAAGTGCTCGAGGCTAGTCGGGATTCTTCACCAGAGGCTGAGCAGAGTTTGGAAATGCTTCCGGAGGAAGTGATCCTTCGTGGGGACAATGTGTGTTCTGCGTCCCTCCTTTCTCTCCCTGATGCTTTTATCCTCAGGGTTAGCCCAGGGTCCAGGTTCCCAGTATCCTGGTGGCAGGGACCTTCATTACAGAAGCACCTGGCACCTACCAGACGTCCATCAGCACAGGCATCAGACAGAGTTCATTGATTTTCTTCTCTCAACCAGCTTACAGTCTGGTGGGGGAGTTAAAATTACCAGTCTCTCTAAATAGGTAATCTTTAAAAGACCCCATAAGATTATCCCAAAGCCAGAGGCACGATTATTTCTCAATAGAATCAGGAAGATTTTCAGAGGGGAGAGCATCTCGTGAAGATCTGCAATGTTTCTGTCGTGGGCAACCGGCACCACCTCCACCTTGGGGGCCCTCTCTGGTCACAGAGTCAGGCTGAAATCCTTCCTTCTCGCCTCAGTTTTATCTTCACCTTCTCCCCTGGGGGGGGCATCCCCTCATCTAAGGTCCTGGGAAGGAGCGTCACACATGGGCTTTCTTGTGTGCTCACAGCCCTTCCGCTCACGTTAGCACCCGACTCTCCAGGTCACCCCTTCTCCAGGGAGCGCTGACTCGTAACCCAGACCCCGTGCACTGAGACGTGACTGATGCCGGAAAGGCAGGCTGGCTCTGCTACAGTCACGAGGCAGCGGTGGTGTCTGGGGGTCGGAAGGTCACGGGTGGGGCCGGTGGGGGGGAAACCCTGAGCGCTGCCCACTGGGCTCACGGCCCCCGGTTCCTCTGATGAGGCCGCTCAGTGTGACCAGACGGGCTTCCTCTTCTGGAGGAAGGCCTTGACCCCCTCCTGGGCATCCGGCAGGCCCAGGTTGTCCACCATGGTCTGGGAGGTGAGGTGGCAGGCGGTCCTGAGGTCCTGAGCCAGCTGCCCGTAGAGGGCGGCTTTGCCCAGCGACAGCACGGGCCGGCCCGGCGAGGCCACCTTCCTCGCCATCCGCGTGGTCTCGTCCTCCGGCACCACCCTGCTCAGCAGCCCGTGGAGCAGGGCCTCCCGCGCAGAAACGGGCTCCCCGGTGAAGAGCACCTCCAAGGCCACCTGTGGGAGGGGACAGGGGCCGTTACTTAGGCACCGGCCATCCTGTGACCCAGCGCCGCCCAGGCCCCACCCGCCCCGCTTCACTCTGCAGAGACTGTTTGTACCGTGACGCTCGGGCCAGTTACCTGCTCCTCAAACACCATGTCCCCATCACCTCTGAGGTCTTCCATCCCCAGACTCCTGCCAGGGATGGGATCCATGAGCACCCAGGAGAGGGGGGGACCCTCCTCATCTCCTTCAGGTCACGTGTCACCACTCTATTGAAATCACAGCTCACACCCCAGCACCATCCCCCCTTCGGGCTGCATTGTCTTCCTTTGCACTTTCACCATTTACTATATAGCTTACACATTCATTTTGTTTATTGTATTATCTCCTTTGTTGGCACATAAGCTTCACTAGGGTCAGAGACTTTCTTTTTACTCTTGTTTATTTCTGTATCGCCAGCACGAGAAGAGTACCTTGCACATAGTAGGCAGCCTCCAAGATATTTACTGGTGAGTGATTTAAGGAGTGGATGGATGGAGGCAAACACAGTACAGGAGAGGTGATGCCACAGTCCTGCAGAGGCCAGGTCAGAAGGTGACACGGCTTCCACTGGTTCTTTCTCTCCGGCTGTTCAGCCTTGGAGCCCAGCTGCCACGCCGTGAGCAAGCCCGAGCCACTCTGAGGCTGTGCTGTGTGTGCCCCTGACCAGCCCAGCCGAGGTCTCAGCTGAGAGGCAGCCTCAACAGCCAGATGTGGGAGCGGGCGGGCCCTCAGACCACCACCCCCAGCTGTCGTGCTCCCCTTCCAAATCTTCCCAGCTGAGGCCACGGACACTGTGGTGCAGAGATAAGCCTTCCTCTCTGAGCCCTGTGCAAGTTGCAGATTCACGAGCTAAACAAATTACTATTGTTTGGAGCCACTGAGTTGAGGGTGGTTGTTATAGATCACTGGACTAGCTTGCGGTATCATCAGCACTTAGGTCATGGTTTTTCAACCTCAGGGCTATTGTATGTTTTGGACCAGATAATTTTTTTGTTGTGTGGGGCTGTCTTGGGCATTGTAGGATGTTTGTGGCATCCCTGGCCTCTATCTACCGGGCAGCAGTACCCCTGTCCCAACTTGTGACAATCAAGGCACTGCCAAACGGCCCCTGGCGCCAGTACTGCTCCCAGATTAGAACCACTGATTAAGGTGGTTTTTTGAATCATGAGACTAGATCGTATCACTGGGGGACTGGGCTTTGGTGGAAGAGGAGAGGCCAGAAGGTGGGTACAGATGCCATCATAGGTGCAGATGGAGCACACAGTGGACTGGACTGGCCACCAGGGACAAGGCGATGTTGGCCCCATTTTCTCCTCTGCAGTTAGGGGAGAGGACTGAATCCCAATGTTGTCCAATTTTGGAAACTTCATGATGACATGCTGGAGGCAGCAGGAGCTACAGAGACTATTTCATTGTTGAAGAGGGACAGCATTGTCACTGCAAAGCGTGTCTGAAGTGCCTGTGTGAATGTGGAGCTAAAAACCGGTGCTGCTGATCCAGGGCTGCTAAGTAAGACGCCTCTGAGGACGCGCAGCGAGTCCCAGTGAAGGGCAGAGGCCAGGGGGTCCGATCTGGGGAAGGAGCAAGAGAACACGAGAGTCCCCCCTGTCCCGGGCGCTCATGCTCCTGGCCTGCCTTCAGCTTCCTACCTGGTCCTGCCTAGTTCATGGCCCTCTCTGGCATCAGTGTCCTTACCGGCCTGGTGGGGTAACGCTATTTAGCACCACATTGATTTATAGGGGTTGTACCCACACGGATCAGATAATAGAGTGGCATTCCCTTAGAAAAAGAAAGCCTATTTTATGGCGAATTAGCACAATCTTTACTTACTGTTTCCCCTGAAACTTCAGATGAGAAGTTTCTTTTCTGTTATCAACCTTTTCTGTTATCAACCCTTGTTAGGGTGCCCCTAACAAGGTGGTGATTTTATACTTCCTCTTCCCAGAGTATCTGTATTAAAAGCAACAAAAAGCACTTGAAGCCAAGGCTGACCTTCAAGGCTGACCCCTGGTGTCTGATGTCCCCAAGTTCCAATCCCACTTACCAACCACACAAACTTAAGGGGGCAGTTTAACCCTCTCAGTCTGTTTCCTCACCTGAAAAAATGGGAGTAAAGATTCCCATTCTCCTGCAGAATTGTGAAGATTGGAGAAAGCTGTGTAAAACTTATACTACAGTGCGGGGCACCCAGGAGGCCCCTAGTAAATGCAGTGCCTGTTATTAACAGGCTTCTTCCTCCTGTAAATTTGTATGAATCTCCAGTGTTGGCTTTCGGTATCAAGGCCCCTGATTATTTAAAGCAGAGGGGTCTCTGGGGTTCCTCAAGGCACGTGTAGGGGAAGAACTAGCTGGTGGTGCGTCAGCATTAGGGCTGCGATTCGGCAGGACCGGAAGGGAAGGACCTGACAGGGGATCATGGGTTAACTTCATCAGCCGGGAGACCTCCGGTGAGTCGCTGAGACCCCAGCCCTTCCGTGAGGTGGGCTGTTGAACATACGCCTGTGGTGGCCACAGCGTCACCGTTAACATGCAGATTCTGACGCAGTGGGTAGGGGGGGGCCTGAGACCCCCGGTTCCCAGGCTCTCTGGTGATCCGCACGCGGGCTGGGTAGCAAGGCTTTCACTTAACATCCTCTCCATCTTGCAAGTTCTACTCTGATCTAATCAATTAGGAATTCAGATCCCGCAGATGCACAGAGTTACTGTGGGTAAACTGGAGGAAGCAAGTGTTCCCGCGGAGACCTGACTGGTTTGGGAAGCCGGGGCTCTGGTCTTTCACGTGCTCCCCTTGCCCGTGGTACCCAATGCTTTAGGGGCTGGGTGAGACCAGCTCTGACTGCGGGAGGGAGCAGCTGCACCAGGCAGGTCGTCTATACGCGCAACGAAGATGCATATTTAACTCAAGCTGGGGGAGGGGGACACTTTGCACACGTGATAAATGATTCACGCCCAGGCTCAGTCTGGCTGGAACCCGAGAGCTCCTCGCCACGGTTTCTGCAGGACAAAAGGCAGCGTCCTCCGCACGCTGGGCAGTTCCCTACGGTGACCAGCAGAGGGCACTGGCGACCCACACCTGCCGCCTCAGCCGTGTTGAAAGGGGCGGAGCTTCCCGACTGGGCCACTTTGCAAAGGCACCTGCTAGTTTTGCTTCCCGGCGGATGTGCACGGGAACGCTGGCATGTCACCCACGCAGGTGGCGGCCCGTGTATGGATGCGTCCCTGTGGGTGCAGCCAAGCACTGACGATAGGCAGGTGTGTTTTGGTCGGTTTTAGATTTTTGGTGAATCCCTAGTTTTCCTCCTGGGGCGGGCCACGCAGGTGAGATTTATGCAACATGGTTCTGAGAACTGGGCTTCCTGGGAATTTAAGGCCTGTCTTTGACAAAAATTTTTTTCCTTCTTTCTTCTCAAAAACAAATTTAAAATTTGACACATGATCAATTTGTAAGTTTCTGGGACTCAAGTATAAGCCTTGATTTTTAAAGTTTGTTTTTAATATTTTTTTTAAATGAGAATTTATTTTTAATTTTTGTCTGTGTTGGGTCTTCGTTGCTGTGTGTGGGCTTTCTCTAGTTGCGGCGAGCGGGGACTACTCTTCGTTGTGGTGCTCGGGCTTCTCTTTATGGAGGCTTCTCTTGTTGCGGAGCACGGGCTCTAGAGCACAGGCTCAGTAGTTATGGCACACGGGCTTAGTTGCTCCGCGGCATGTGGGATCTTCCCTGACCAGGGCTTGAACGCACTCCCCTGCATTGGCAGGCAGATTCTTAACCACTGCGCCACCAGGGAAGTCCTAAAGTTTGTTTTGAGAAAGAAGAGATTCTTATCTGGAAAGTAGGGCTGATTTAAAGTTTTCAGATGCTTTAACATGGAACCTTCCAGAATGTTAGGTGTCAAAGCTGAACAGCAGCAGGTTGGCCAAGCAATCACCTTTAATGTGCAAGAGGCCTGGAGATTTGATTTGCACAATTACAAGGTACTTCGTTCATAAGCTCTGACGATAACTTTGTGATGCATTTTAATTTAATGTGCTGGCACCGAGCAGGGACTTAAGAAGTATTTATTGAATTAATACGTAACATTTAAGGTAAATGTGTATCCTGGTGGGATCCAGACACCCTCCTGGGTCTGAGGACACCGGAGCAAGCTGTTGTGTTCTGAGGGTCACCTTTTCCAATGTGGAGCCCATGTCCAGCTGGTTTTCATAAGTGTATGTGTTTGTAGGTATCTGTCACCAGAATTTTCTCAGAAACACACATTTCTGTAAAAGCTAATGAGGTGCATGAAAGGCAGGTGTGCTTCCCTGAACCTCTTGGTCCTGCAGCTTGATTTCCCTTGGGGCTCATTGCTTTTGTGCCTCCGGCATATGAGCAACTGCTAATTTTCCTAGTTGATGCTAAAATGGTTAATATATTCTAGAAAGCAATTTAGATTCCCTACTTGCTACGACTCTGGCACCCCCTTTAAAAACAGATTTCCAGTTGAGAATAAGGATGTATTTTTCCTTACAAGGAAAACAAGGAAACCACCGGTTTCCACTTAAGAGCTGTTCAGTAAACATTCTTTATGACGTTATAGGAAGGAGGAAAGTTTGTGAAGAAAGTGGACTTCACTCGGGTTAGCAACAACAGAACAACTCTGGCAATACAGCTCCTTCTGGGGCAGATTCGACACACCATGTACAGGACATTCCTGCAACCACTGCAAACCTGACACACTCAGTGTATCAGCTACTTTCAGTCCATTCTGGAATGAGACAGATTGCTGGCAAACAGGAAGCCAGCGACAGAATGTCCTAGCCTCTTATACTGGCATATGTCACCATGCTATTATAGCTCATGGGCAACCTTTCCGTGCAACAAAACTGTATCTGAATTGCATTTCAAATAAGAGTGCAAAAAATGTTCACCTTTATGAAAACAAAGCATATCTAAAAACCTAACCAGCTGTATTGAGGGGTAGGCAAGAATGAAAAGCAGTGATTTACAAACTGACAGCCACTGGGATAACCTCCCAACACGAGATATTAGTACATTCAGCCAGCTCTGCTTTGGGCAGAATGTCCTGAATCAAACGGTACTTTCAACAAGAAAGTTCTGGACCTCACCCTCACAGGCACTGGAGGATCACAGTTAGCAAGGAGGTGCAGGGAGTTCAGTTACCTTTCTCGGCACCGCTCTCCCCAAGGCCACCCCGGGGGTGGAGCAGAAGAGCCCGATGTTCACGCCCGGCATGGCAAAGGAGGACTTGTCACTCGCCACAGCAATGTCACAGCTGGCAACCAGCTGACACCCGGCAGCAGTGGCCAGGCCGTTCACCATGCGATGATGGGGACCGGGTGGGCCTGGATCAGCATCATGACCTGAAGAGCAAACACACCTGCTTCGCTTCCATCCAAGAGTGAGGTGCGACAGTAACACTCAGGATTTTATGTGACTTTACTGTTTTCAGAGCCCTTTTCATATGCTATCAGTGTATCAGATTCTATGACAAAAAGGGTAGGGGAAGTCACAAAGAGAATAACTTTCATTAAATATCGACGGTGAGCCAGACTGTGTGATTTGGTCTTCCTGAGATCCAGGAGGAAGGAACCAGGACACCAAGGCTCACGGGGGAAGTAACCCCCTAAGGCCACCAGATCTGCGAGGGGGGCTATGGGGTCTGAGCACCTCTGTCTGACTCCAGGCCCCTGGTCTGTCCCTAAGCATGATTTCTGTGAGGATGCTATCCCCTCAACCGCTCCCCTAGCAACCCCGCTGCAGAAGAGGGCTGACTTTGACCTCTGGGGAACAAGCAGTTCTGTCCCAAAGGTGCCTGTGTGGAGCTCTTGTATTAAAAGTCTGAAACAGGTGGGAAAGGGCCTGGGAAGTAATTTCCTTAGTAATTACTTCTCCAATTACCACCATGATACTCTCTCAATTCTATTAAGATGGTGGGGAACACCCTGCTGTCATCAAAATAAACAAAATTCCAGGGCTTCCCTGGTGGCGCAGTGGTTGAAAGTCCGCCTGCCGATGCAGGGGACATGGGTTCGTGCCCCGGTCCGGGAGGATCCCACATGTCGCGGAGCGGCTGGGCCCGTGAGCCATGGCCGCTGAGCCTGCGCGTCCGGAGCCTGTGCTCCGCAACGGGAAAGGCCACAAAAGTGAGAGGCCGGCATACCGGAAAATAAATAAATACATAAATAAAATAAAATAAACAAAATTCTAAAATGCATTGGCACAGAGAGGGTAGCTGGAAACTGGCTCAGGTGAGACCCCTCCCCCCAAAATCTCCAGAACTTTAACTTAGTTTTGCAGCTTATGAAGTAACTTGGCTAATTTCTCCATTTTTTTCCATGACACTCTAAACAGATTGTGTTACTATGTTGACTTCAGTGTATAAATGTTTGCCCTTTGACCCCGGCAGGAGGGAGGGGAGGCGGGGACCTGGCCTTGCTTCCCATGCAGCCACTCCAAGGAAAACGACCTTCACGGATCCCAAGGTTTTGCCTGAGGAACTTACCTTTTGTGCTTGTGAACATTTGGTACTTGTCAGCTTTATTATAAAGTGACTAATTATATATTTAGGGATATGATATCATAGTCCTGATATCAGGAATTGGGGGTTCGCCTTTTGAGAATCTGGTAAATGCTATTGACCCTCCTCCAGAGGAATGCACATTTATGTACCAGCACCCAAACTGCTGGTGGGTACAGGGGGTTCGTGCACATACGTGAGGATGGGGAGGGTGAGGGGCAGCGCTGCTTCTCAGGGGACACAGTAGCAAGCAGGCTGCACAAGAGCATGTAAGGTCTGACTGCAGAGGCAGAAAGACTGTTTCAGCTCTGAGTGTCATCCGTCACCTGATCAGCTGAAGGTAGGAAGAGTCAGTTGGCTGTGACTTGGGTGGCACAGTCTGTCTCCTGCCTGTCGTCTAGGAAGGGCTGAGATTCCACACAAGCTGATGGGAAATACTTAGGCAATCCAGTAGATCACCAACGTTAAAAATATCCTACCCTCGATCTAGGAATTCTAAGAGATAATCTGAAATAGGGCAAAAAGCTGTCTGGACCAAGATGTTCACCAAATCATTACTTTATAATAGTAAAAACTATAAATCATACAAATATACAAAAATAAGTAAATGGCTATATAAACTAAAATATATTCCAATGCAATGGAATGCTACATTCTCATTACAATGAAATTTTCTGAGAGAAATATCAGCATGGTGGTCTGCAGTGAGGCTGCTGGGGGCCGACACCCCGGCTATCACTTACTTTCTTCCTATCCCTCAGTCTTCACATCTGTAAAATGGGTATAATTATAGTAACAACCTTACAGAACAGGAAGATTATGTAAATTAACATGTCTAAAGTTCTCAAAGTATCACCTGGCACACAGTAAGCATTCAATGCTATGATGATATTACACAATTATACTGTATAATCACACCCATGTATGATCATTGTCAAACAAATGGGTACACATGGGAAAGGATGAAAAAGAAATACAGCAAAATATTAATTACAGTTCTCTCTGGGTGGCATGATCATGGGTGTAGTATCAGTAATTTAATTTTCTTCCTTTTGTTCTTCTAGATTTTCCAAATTTTCTGTAAGAAGTATCTATTACTTTTTTTTCGGTACGCGGGCTTCTCACTGCTGTGGCCTCTCCCATTACGGAGCACAGGTTCCAGACGCGCAGGCTCAGCGGCCATGGCTCACAGGCCCAGCCGCTCTGTGGCATGTGGGATCTTCCTGGACCGGGGCACGAACCCATGTCCCCTGCATCGGCAGGCGGACTCTCAACCACTGCACCACCAGAGAAGCCCTCTATTACTTTTATAATTAAAAAATATTTTAAATAAAGTTAGAGAGCAATTCAGGGAAGACAGAGGGAACCTAGCTAATACACCAGCTGGGTAACCAATCCCTTGATTGTCAAGAATGATTAGTCCTCCTATTTTGCCTCCTGAATTCAGTACTTGTTTTGGTCCTGCCTACTCCAAAATGGGACATAAATTTAACTCTGCCCCAGCCTCACTGAACAGCATCACGGAGGGTTCTACGCTCGTTCCCAAAGCAAGTGGCCCTGTCCCTTTGTCACATCAGTGGTGGGTGTGAGGAGGAGGGAAGACTCTTCCTGGACCAGGGTTTCCACCTTCAAACTTGAACGGGACGAAAGAAGAGACCAGGACGGGCCTCCAGCGAAAGCCCCCCACATCTGCCTGAGGGAGGTGACGTTCGCTCTTCCCTGACCAGGTGTTTCTTCTCATTTTCAATTTGCCCCATTTCTGATTTATAAATAACTAACCGTCATGCGGCACTTGTGGTCTGTGACAAATCTGCTACAGAACTTAGATGCGGAGACAAACCAGATATTTCTTCCTTTCTTCCATCCCCTGTTCTCGTGCATAAACTGAAGGGGAAATACCTAGCTCATTCTGTTCCCGTCTGCCTGCTGATTACACTTGCAAACTGAAATCTCACACAAGTTCACGGTGTTCAGATTTATCCAGGGCAATGTGATTTTCTTCGAAAAAGTATTAGAGAAGTCAGTGTACTTTCAGGTCCTATTTTACTACATCAGGGTGAGGTCCTGTATGCGTCTTTTTTCAGTGAGTTGGAGGCATCCGTGGGGTGGAAGCTTCCAGAAGATCTGGCCTTTGTCCGGGGAAGAATCTCAGCTCCCCTGTGGCCCTTTGCTATTTAGATCTCAGTTCATGAAGATACCACAGAAAAGTGACCAAAACAGGCCCTTTAGGGAGGATGGAAGGGCTCCACTGGTTCTCTACGATGATCTTCTATTTCGACCAAACATACCAGGTATTAGTAGAAAAATAACTTTTAAAGCACCAAGCTGGCAAAGCACCAGCTGGCAAACACAACAGCGGAATGTCCCATAAACATCATTAACGTGAAACACAAGGCCCAGAGGGTGGCTGTGAGCAGTTGTCTGTAGGGGGTGAAGGATTAGACAGATTGTGGGCATGCTGCACGGGGTGTCTGCAGACCTGTGTGCCAAGCCCCTGGCAGAGCAGCAGGAGGGAGGGGTGGAGAGGTGGGGCAGGCAGGCAGCACAGGGTGGGAAGGAAAGAACAAAGCTGCAGGCTCTCCCCTGCTTTGGGGGAGTTCCTAGGAGCCTGGGGATTGTAAATTCAAACACAGCCTTCCAGGTCTTAGGACGGCCTACTCGTGAGGGGAGGAGAAGAAAACGTATTTCACAGCTTGATTTGTAAGGTCTAAATACTCAGACATGCTACCTAGGCCTCCCTCTGCACTCTTGCCCTGGCCAGGCAAACGTCAGAGTGAGGCCTGGATGGGGCTGGGGCCTTCTACCTTTATCACGCCACCGTCCACTTTCAAGTTTGTGCCCTGGTATGTTTTTGTAAAAGGGTTTTAGGCTTGTTGAGCCAAAGGGCAGAGCTCAGTACCCTGTGTCCTTTAGCCTATTTACCTGCCCTCACGTGGGCACTTCTAGATGATGGCCAAGGAGCAGCTCGGCTATGCCTGACCTCGCCTCGGAGCCAGGTCAAGTTTGTGAGGCACAGAATCCTCTACTGAAGGGCTTTCTCAAAGGTACAGCAGCGGTGGCGCCTCCCACAAGGCTGCCCACGCTGAGCCCAACTGCACTGTCGACTTGGCCTGGGTTTAAAGGCAGTGCTGGAAGCCTCCCAGGTAGCCCCACTTAAATCCTCCGTGTGCGTCCTGCAGGGTCGCGAAGGCCACTGGGCCCAGGCAAGGGACGTCTGTAAACGCAGCATCCGCGGATTTCCTCCACGTCGGACCTCTCCGCCGGACCGATCCGCTGTGATGGATAAACTGGGCTCCGTGGCGGGCGGAGCTGACCACTGACGGAGCCTCGCTGTACTCCGCGTGGGGTGGCGCGGTCGGCGGCCCGGCCTCCTCCGCCCCTCTCTCTTCCCGGGTCCCGCCGGCCACCCTCCCTGGGAACAGCCCCGCACGCCCGCGGGCCGCTGACCTGATGCCGTCCCGCAGCCGCGTGCTGGTGGGTCGCGACCCCGGCTCCGGCCGCCCGACCCCGGCCGGTCCCCCGCTGCACAAGCCGGCGGTGAGCGGAGGCCACGGGCCGCGCCGGAGCCAGCCCGACTCCTTCGCCCCCAAGGCCCGCAGGCCCGCGGCGGCGGCCATGGCGGCCAGAGACGCGCCGGGGTCGGACGCCGCTGAGCTCGACGCCAAGGACCGCGGGCTCTGGGCGCTCCGAGGGGCGCGGGAGCGAGCCGGGCCGCTGCGCTTCGACCACTGCGGGCAGCGGGCAAAACCGAGTCGGGGATCGCAGGCCCAGGTTTCGAGCGGACTCTTCTCCCAGGCCGGACCCAGCCCCCGCCGCCCCGCCCCCGGGTCCCTGCCGCCCCACCCCACCCCACCGCCCGGGCCCCCTAGTCTTCCGGCCCCGCCCCGACGCTCCGCCCCCCGTAACCCCTCCCCTGGCGCCCCAACCACCCTTGCTCCACCCCCTAGCCCCGCCCCCGATATACCTACACCGCCTCTGATCCCTCCCCCCGCGCCGCCCCTTCCCCCGCGCCGCCCCGCCCCCGGGTCCTTGGCGCCCTTCCCGGGAGGAGCTGAGGGGTTGGTTCTGGGGTGAGCGACTCTAAACCTTCAGGCACGCTCTGAGGGTTTTTTCCCTTGCAAGTCCAGACGAAAGGGTTTAAAGGAGGCGAGCAGTGGTGTAGCTTGCTCCTTTTTGTTACAACACCAAGAACATAGTGGTTTGCCTGGATTAGGAGAAAAATGAAGTGTCGGCAGGTAGCGGATGATGTGAGCTAGGGACGTCACCTTTTTACAAATTGCTTTATCCTACCCATCCTATCCCAGGCCTCTCATGTGATCCCAGGTCACTACTTGAGCTGTATCCCACTCAAGTATTGGCTTTTAAATGCTTTGTGTCTTCTCTTATCGAGAACCTGTGGGATCTACGTTTATATCTTGCGTTTCCCCAATGCACCAAGGAGGGAAAGGGAGGCCCTTTTCAGGATCTAAGTGGCTGGCACGAGATAGGGCACATCCTGCGGCTGAGAGCTGAAGTGTGATGAGAAGATCCTCATTGTCATTTGCTAGTTAACTGCTTCCTGTATTCCTTAACTTCCTAAAGTCTGGAGATTTGCAGGATACTTGGAAGGAAGGGTCTGGGCCCTCAAAGATCTTCCAGTCTGTAGGGTTGACACCATGCCCAGGACCCTCCTCGGGCTTTGACACTGAGAAATTTTGCAAGGATAACAATTATACAAAGGCATCTACAGGCGGGGCCATTGAGGTTGCACAGTGGCTTGAAATAGTCACACACTGGATTCCTTTGAGTGAGGCCCCCTTTAATTCTCAGCTTCATAATTGGACAGATCACTTATGTACAGAATAATATTTTGAAATATCAGTTGACATCTCTACCAACACCACCACTCACTCCATTTCCTTGGTCCTCGTTCCATTCAGGCAGTTGGGGCAGAACTCTGAGACACACAGGGGCAATTCCTGGCTTTCAATTTGTAAAAGCCCAGCCTTGGGATTGGAAAGAACACCACGCAGACATAATAGATTTGGGGAGCAGTTGATGAATAGGAACAAGGCCTCTAACCTGAGGCCAGATTAAGGTCCCCCAGGTTTGAGGGCAAGGATAGGGCAAGTAGGGCTTCAGGAAAAGCCAGAAGAGAGTGGGATTTGGGAAAAAGGGTGTGCCAAAGCCTTCTGGAGAAGTGGGAATAGTGGGAAGGATTGCTCCTTTCCTTGGTAGAACTCCAGGTCACTCATGAGACTCTGGGTGGCACGGAATGTCTGGGCAGATGGACCTAAACACCTCATAGAATTTCCCATGGTCCAGTGCGGTGCTGTGACAACAAACTTGTCCCTGTCCTCTGAGAGGGGATTGGAAACAGCTGAGAAAGGTCTGGACCTGAGGAGCCCTGAGGTGGGGAATGGAGATGACTCAGCAGGTGTGGACTGACAAGTTGAAGACAAGGTGGGGATGAGGACATCTCGGGTGGATGCTGTCACCTGTACCCTTCTGGTAGCCTGGAATATGCTGAGGTGACAAAAACAACTACAACAAAAACAAGTCTATGTGCCCCAAACAACCAAGCCTCATTTCTCACTCACACTACTGTTCTACTGCAGATCAGCTGAAAACTCTGTGCTGAGTCAGCCCTGTCTTTGCCTCGGGACCCAGTGGAGCAGCCTCTATCTGGAAAGTTGCCAGTCTCTGGGGCAGAGGAAAAAGAAAGGATGGGAGAGGACTTCCCTGGTGATACAGTGGTTAAGAATCCGCCTGCCACTGCAGGGGACACGGGTTTGAGCCCCGGTCTGGGAAGATCCCACATGCTATGGAGCAACTAAGCCCACGTGCCACAACTACTGAAGCCCGTGTGCCTAGAGCCTGTGTTCCACAGCAAGAGAAGCCACGGCAATGAGAAGCCCGCGCACCACAACAAAGAGTAGCCCCTGCTCGCTGCAAGTAGAGAAAGCCTGCGCACAGCAACGAAGACCCAATGCAGCCAAAAATAAATAAATACATTTATAAAATTAAAAAAAAAAAGGAATGGATGGGAGAAGCATGAACTGGCACTTGGTCTCATGATTCATTTGCCAAAGCAAGTCACACCACCACACTTACCTTCAGATGTGCAGGAAAGTACAACCCTCCCATGTGTTTGAAAGAAGCAAGTCTTTTTTTTTTTTTTTTTAGCAAGTCTTTTTGAGCAATGATTGCTTAATGATGGCCACAACTGCCCAAGCACAGAGCCTTGGTGTTATAAATGAACAGATGCTCATTACTCAGGGATCGGGAATAGAATTCCAAATTGGCTTAGTTTCCGCCACCAGGCAGAATGGAGATTTGAAATAGAATTAAGCTGAGAAATAAAAGGAAGTTAAATCCTTAAGAACACTCGAGTTTGCACACTGGGATTTGTGTCCATCCCCCTCAGTCATGCCAAGTGCTGCAGAAGAGACAGAACATGTTCCCTGAGGCTGAGTCATGCAGGATCAAAAACTCTGACCAAAGTGATCATCATGGGCCAAAGTCCACCACCAGAGGACCTTTTCCACCTTCTCACCAAGATGAAGTGTCATTGGCAGGACGGGAGGTTTGACTGGGAAGAGATAAAGAGACTGCTCCCTCCCAGCCTAGGAGCTGGAGTAGAGGAGAGACCTGGAGTAGAGGGTTTTGGGAGAAGGAACGAGGAGGGCACTTGGAGCGTGAACGTCACAGATGAAAATGGAAGGTTTCAGAGACAACCTCCACCTGCTTCTAAACTTTATTTAATAGGGAACTATACTCAATATTTTGTAATAAGCTACAAGGGAAAAGAATCTGAAAAAGAATAGGTACGTATGTGTATCACGGAATCACTTTGCCATACACCGGAAACTAACACAACATTGTAAATCAACTATACTTCAATTTTTTAAAAAAGCACTGAAAATTGTAAAAAAAAAATTTTAATTTAATAACAGCCGCCCTTTATGAAGACGCCCACTCTGTGGCAGTGCCTGCACTTAGCGCATTACTTACGCCAGCTCAGGATAACTTGTGAGACAGGTACCATTAACCTAGTTCAGAGACGCTTTGCCAGCCGCACTCGCGCTCAGCACAGCAGTTACAAAGTTGGGACAGGGCGCTGGGGGTCACCTGAAGGATGGGCTGTGATGGAGGTTTCCGTGCTCATCTAAATTCCTACGCTTGTTCTCCCATCCCTTTCACGTCTCCTTCCTCCCCTCATATCTTTCTGTGCCTCTAGCCCTGGTTTGAGAGTGGAGAAACACGCAAACACGGAAGTGGAGATGGACAGCCATCGCGTTATCCAGGAGGGAGTCGATATTGCTTGCTGAAACGCTCATCCATCCTTAAGCAGTGCGAGAGTCTTTTCATTCGGGCTGTTTCTCCAGGCCTCCTCTGCCTCTCATTAATTTTGGTAGGGGCTGCTTGTCTTTCTTCCCTCTTGTTCAGTGCCCTTCTAATCTATTTTTCCACGTAAGCCCTGACACAATTTGATTTCCAGGTTGCTAGCAGGCTTCTCTCTGGCTTTGATTTATGTGTGCCTTCCCTGTGCCTCATGTCTTTGCCATATGGATGTGTCTTCGCTACCTTTTCTCAGTTTCTTTAAAGACCCACCGATGCTTGGCAGGACGTTGCAGAAATAATGCAGAATAAAAGACAGTTCTAGGGAGCCTGGCATCTCAGGCTTGATGTTGGAATGAAGGAAGATTTAGAACTCCTCAGGGTGCAGAGAAAGAAAAGTGAAGGGCAGATTTTCAGCTGCTTATGGAGCAGTTTTTGAACTTCTTTTTATTGATTTCGGGCCCTTCGAAGACAGGCACGTAATGACACGGTTCAGAGTACAATGTGAAAGATCTGGGGGCTTAGTTTCAGCAGAGATTCCTCTGGCATCCGGCTGATTCTCCTGTTCTAGCTTTCCACCCTCATTCTCCCCATGTCTGTCCCTTCTCCCCACCACTGCTGCCCCCAGAAAAGTCATAGGAGGATCAAGCGCCTACACACCAGAACGTTTCAGATGTTCATTGTTTTTTTTTTTGCGGTACGCAGACCTCTCACTGTTGTGGTCTCTCCCGTTGCGGAGCACAGGCTCCGGAAGCACAGGCTTAGTGGCCATGGCTCACGGGCCCAGCCGCTCCGCGGCATGTGGGATCTTCCCGGACCGGGGCATGAACCGGTGTCCCCTGCATCGGCAGGCGGACTCTCAACCACTGCACCACCAGGGAAGCCCCACACGTTCATTGTTTTACACAGCTGCAGATGCTGTTCAATGCCCCAGTTTTATTTTGTATTTTATTTATAATCCACCAGTCATCCAAATGCCTTTTGCAAACCTAAAACTTCTTCAGAAAGACCCATGCCTCAAGGTGGGTGAAAATTAATTTAGAAACGAAATGGGGTGGGGAGCAAGGTGCATGGATGAAATGAACTTCCTTTATCCCCACTTAGCACAAATTCTTGAGTTTGCTCATATGCCTTAAACCCAATGAATTCAGTAACATCAGGTAAAGGATATGGAAAAGTGGTACAAACAGATGACAAGGGGTGTGTATGGACGTTTTGAATGAGTTTGCAAAGTTAAAGGGTCCTGTTAGTGGAGTTGATAGACTTTTGGAGGGCAAGAGGTCATTCAGGAGGCGTATTGAATGTTTGATCCATTAAATGGTGCAAGACAGAGACAGCCATGCAGCTCAACACTGTTCATGGTCTCTGAACGAGCACCGCAGGGACGGGAACCCACTGGTTACTGTGTTTGCCACCTCCTGCAGCTGCATCACACCTCACCATGATTATAATCCTGCAACAGCAGAGGAGGTTAAGAGGAGGTCAGTA